AGGCAAGTCTTAACTACCTTCATTGTAGCAAAACTAATTGATATGATTAATTTGAATGTAGAATTTTATTAGTTGTCATAATATATATAAATTTTAAAATAGTGGCGTCATAAATATGGGGGATAGCATATAATGTCACATTGAATTATTTTGAATATACTTTTTAAGGAATCATAAGAAATCCAAAATTTAGGTATATCAAAATTACACATAGGACTTGTGTTATGATGCATCATATTATAAAAATCTAAAACATATCGTAAATAAATCATTAGCGACAAATCAAGCGATTTCAGAATTGCCCATAGAATAGATAATAATGCTTGGCTTGTTTGATTATAATCCTTAAAATAGCAATTAATACTACATCAAGGAAACATAGAAAACAGTAAAAATTAAGTTCCACAAAGTTGTAAATAGTGACTCACTTTTAAAAAACTTTTAGCTGTTGTCCAAACCAAGATATTCACTAAATTTTGAGTTTTTAATGATAGATCTTTCATTTTATATTGATCATAGCTATAAGTATTAAGGGAGACAATGTGGACTTCCATCAAACAAGTTTAGGAGCTAAAAGAGCTTGCAGGCATTAATAACAAATCATAGATTTTAGTAATCATTACATTAAAATTGAATTGCTCAACAGTGTTAATAAATCTAGAACTCATGAATCACACTCAATGCATTACAAATTCTATTAGGTTACGCTAACATTTTAGACAGTGTTTCTAAAAGTAAGCACAACTAGAGTTAAATAAAGATGAACTAAGGTTTTGAATAGTGAGTGCATGAAAGATATGTGACAAGGATGGCAGAATGTAAATAGAAATATGCAAGGATGTCATATTATGTTGAAAAAAAGTTAAAAACATAATAAACGATACTACATTTCATTACAATTAAGGTAAATAAAAAGAACAAATAGTATGCATTAACATTCAGTGTCAAATTATATCAGTTTCCTGTGCAAGAGATGACATCAAATTTAAACTAATATCTGACGTAATTAGGTAAGAAGGATAATTGTTACATGTCTGTTCAGTACACTTATAAAACCAAGAGTTGAAAAGCTGAGGTTGTTGTATAAAAAGAAGATCCTCTATTTTCCAATGCAGTGTTTATTACTCAGAATTAGCACAAGTGGCAAACTACTGTTCATAAGCATATTTGAAATTATATTAATTAAGCGTCTTAAATCTAAAACCCTTAATAAAAAATTCATTTAACAAAATTAGCTATAAATGAAAGATCTTTTAAAAGTATCATTCATCTTTTTCAGTTTTGTATGTAAGAGCATAGATCAAATAATAACAAGAATCAGCACATAATTATTTCAGGCTATTATAAGGAGCCCCAGAGCCATAGATTAATTTATGGAATCCATCTAAACACAATAAATTAGTGCAAGTTAAAATTTAACGTAGTAGTATTATTAGTAAGGAAGTATAGGACATCATCTGTATAACAAAATATTATAGGAAATTACAAGACTTTACATAATGCTGAATAATAAAGGTTTAAATTATGCGATGATATGCATATTACATTTTTAAATAATGTTTAAAAAGTATTGCTAGGCATCATATTATTACTGGATTGCAAGTAGAATATTTAATGTGCTTTAGCAGAGCCATAAGCATTCAATGGCTAACGGAGCGTAATTACAGGTAAAAGAAAACTTGACAGCTCAGCTTCCAACTGTATTGGTGAGTCACAGTCGCAGTCAAGGCGTGCATTGTACATTAATACTATTATCTTCATGAATAGTATGGAAGTTGACAGCTATTGCACGACTTAGGAGAGAAAATAATTGCCATAGGACATATTAAATATCAATAGTATTGCATTCCTCTTTAAGGAAGAGCCTATACATCAACGAAAATAATCTCACTCATTTACTGATTTAACAAACTATATAATTAATGAATAAACCAACATAAGATATATATGGAAGCTTTTTCTGTGTGATTTTGAACTAAACATACCGTCAGTTGAGGTTGAGCCAATTTGAAATTGTGTTGGCTCAGCTGTTTGCATCTTTCGAAGCAAATCACTAAGTATCCATTTATGTTTCAATTTAATCCAATTTAAGTTTGGCAGAGTTAGGTTGAAATATGCATTAATAGAAAAATTAGCTGTGCATTAGATTCTCAAAAAAGAATAAATAGAGATCTGAGTGTTTTTAACATTATTTGCCGTAATTCATCTATGTATTTTCACCTGCAATTATTCAACTTCATTGATGAAAGATAGCTTCAGATCTCAGTATCAATTATCTAATGCTACTTAAATCATAACTTTATATCTGATAGCCAGATAAAATAAACTATTGACAATAATCATCTGAGCTATTATCAAAGCATGACAGTGTAGAAATACTGAGTATAAGTCACCTCCTCTAAGACTTGAAATGCTGGATTGATACTGTCATAATCATTACTTTGCGGTGCACAAGATTTTCAAGTATTATTATGATCATCGCAAATTATGAAGTATATTTAGTCGCATTAAAGCGAGCTAAGCGAGTTATGAAATATTAATGTTATTAGAGTTAAGAATAGATTTAATTTAGGATTCATTGAGNAATGCAGTGTTTATTACTCAGAATTAGCACAAGTGGCAAACTACTGTTCATAAGCATATTTGAAATTATATTAATTAAGCGTCTTAAATCTAAAACCCTTAATAAAAAATTCATTTAACAAAATTAGCTATAAATGAAAGATCTTTTAAAAGTATCATTCATCTTTTTCAGTTTTGTATGTAAGAGCATAGATCAAATAATAACAAGAATCAGCACATAATTATTTCAGGCTATTATAAGGAGCCCCAGAGCCATAGATTAATTTATGGAATCCATCTAAACACAATAAATTAGTGCAAGTTAAAATTTAACGTAGTAGTATTATTAGTAAGGAAGTATAGGACATCATCTGTATAACAAAATATTATAGGAAATTACAAGACTTTACATAATGCTGAATAATAAAGGTTTAAATTATGCGATGATATGCATATTACATTTTTAAATAATGTTTAAAAAGTATTGCTAGGCATCATATTATTACTGGATTGCAAGTAGAATATTTAATGTGCTTTAGCAGAGCCATAAGCATTCAATGGCTAACGGAGCGTAATTACAGGTAAAAGAAAACTTGACAGCTCAGCTTCCAACTGTATTGGTGAGTCACAGTCGCAGTCAAGGCGTGCATTGTACATTAATACTATTATCTTCATGAATAGTATGGAAGTTGACAGCTATTGCACGACTTAGGAGAGAAAATAATTGCCATAGGACATATTAAATATCAATAGTATTGCATTCCTCTTTAAGGAAGAGCCTATACATCAACGAAAATAATCTCACTCATTTACTGATTTAACAAACTATATAATTAATGAATAAACCAACATAAGATATATATGGAAGCTTTTTCTGTGTGATTTTGAACTAAACATACCGTCAGTTGAGGTTGAGCCAATTTGAAATTGTGTTGGCTCAGCTGTTTGCATCTTTCGAAGCAAATCACTAAGTATCCATTTATGTTTCAATTTAATCCAATTTAAGTTTGGCAGAGTTAGGTTGAAATATGCATTAATAGAAAAATTAGCTGTGCATTAGATTCTCAAAAAAGAATAAATAGAGATCTGAGTGTTTTTAACATTATTTGCCGTAATTCATCTATGTATTTTCACCTGCAATTATTCAACTTCATTGATGAAAGATAGCTTCAGATCTCAGTATCAATTATCTAATGCTACTTAAATCATAACTTTATATCTGATAGCCAGATAAAATAAACTATTGACAATAATCATCTGAGCTATTATCAAAGCATGACAGTGTAGAAATACTGAGTATAAGTCACCTCCTCTAAGACTTGAAATGCTGGATTGATACTGTCATAATCATTACTTTGCGGTGCACAAGATTTTCAAGTATTATTATGATCATCGCAAATTATGAAGTATATTTAGTCGCATTAAAGCGAGCTAAGCGAGTTATGAAATATTAATGTTATTAGAGTTAAGAATAGATTTAATTTAGGATTCATTGAGAATTAAACCTGAATAAACAGGATATTTTCTTGTTAAATAACTTTACAAGTTCTAGCTGTTGTAGCTGATGGTGGCCGATTCTGATATTTTAAAGCAATTTATAGAGAATATTTAGAAAATAGCGAGCAAACGGATATGTAATTTGAGAAAGGGTGTTAGCTTTTAACAAGGAAGGAGAAATTTTGTTGAAAGCATTAAGTAGATTAATTGTCCACTAGAAGAGTAGGTTGCAAAAATGAAATTTTTAGTTAGTTCTGCTGAGGAGGATGACACTGTTAGTCATCATCATTCCTCCAAGTTTTAGAATTTTTTGTTAATTATTAGAAAGAAACCATATAGCATGACAGGGTTGACAAGGGATAGAAAGCATGAGATGTAAATATATAGTTCATCATATTCATTCAAAGTTTCATAATTTTATAGTACATTTTTGACAAAGCATTGGGGTCTATGTACTAGAAGTCAGAACTATAGTGCAGAATTCACTAAAATGACAAATCATAAAATACATCAACATTCTTCCCAGGTTCCTGCTGTGACATAGTTTGCTACAGGTTAGATCAAGAACTTATAAAATAGCTAACAGCCTGTAATGTATTTATGAGACAATTTTTAAATGACTTTCTTAAAGAATAAAAAAATGCTGAAACAAATACTGTTGGATCAGCAATCTGAGAAAGGCAACGAAATAATGTGAGTAAGTTTTCCAGTCATTTAAAAAAAAAAACAGGACTAGAATTATGGACAATTTTGCAAACAAAATAATATCCAAAAAAAATCAAACCCCCAATTCAAGAATATGAGATTGATGTTGTATAATTTTGATAGTGTATGTCTAAATAGTTAACTCAAGTATCAGATTGGTTCGCTGATTTGAAGGTAGCACATGATTGACACCGAGGAACACACCTTATGTTTATGAATACATTCGAAATTCCCATATGCGTTCCAGTAGAGCTGATACAATTAGTAATCAAATGTTCAAAATTAATTCATAGCGTAACAAATAGGCATTTACTCTACTGGAAAATTCAAACCGAGAGCAAACTAAAGTGTGTTTAGAGTCCCTATTATAATATGGTATTTAGTGAAAAAACAACTTCAATTGGGGTAGGATGAGCCTGTCCAAGTTATAAAATTCCAAAATATGAGTATCTTCTATATATATTACTTCACTTGGATACTATTTTTAAGTCCACAATTACTATACTAAAATAAGGAAGCATAACATTGAAACATTGTTTATGTCGTTCCAAATAAGCATCACCAGAAATTGGCATCTAAGTCAATACTTAAATTACAAGCCGAACATTTATTATGGGGCATTCAGACTTAATGAGCAATATCTATTACTTTAAGTCTGGAAAATACTAGTGGCCATATTAGTATTAAAACTATTAAAGGACTTTATATTATAGAAAGCGCTAAAAATTTTAATTAATTTGGACTGGTAGATATGCATTATATGCATCTTGGAATAATAAGAATCAGAATAGCATTGTTGCAAGTCAGTTACACTAGCAAAGACCCCTTTTGATTATTAATGAAAGAAAAAGGGGGATACCAATATAGATGGTTGCAATATCTATCATAAAATTGCATCCATTCACATAATGCATTCAATTCAAATTACAGTTGAATAGAGGATCATGTTGCTATTCTTAATAGTCATATTTGTAATGGGTAACTTTATGTTAGAAACAAAAAAGTTATCATTAAGTTAAAACAATTAGGGAACTAGTCGATAAATAATGCATAAATGTACCTCATTTGTTAATTGAAAAGGTTCAAAATTACCATAATAAGGAGGACACCAAAAAAACTTTAAGTTTAAAGCTGCTGTTTGATATTCATGTTCTTGAATATATTTCTAAATAATGAGGCTGAAAGGATATTAGAAGAATATTCGAAAAAGAAACTTGCCATAACAGTAGTCTTAATTTACTGGGATTTAAGAAAATCATTTAGAGGAGTAGAAACATGCACAAGCTTTTTCTTGATGTACATTACTCTTAAATATGTTATGACTTTATATCTATGAATGTGATTAATAAAAAGAGGTATAAAATAAAATGTTTTGACCTGCTTTCAAGAAAGATAAATATTATGAAGAATTCAAGTCAATACTTAAACAAGTGCCTAACATTTGTTACACTCAATTGTTTAAATAAAGGATCGTGAGATAGTTAAAATAAATAATTTCTGGAAAATTTGAATTATTTTTTAATCCTATCTGGTGGATGTATTAGAGTAATGAAATCCCTTAATAATACAAAGGGCAAGTTCTAATAATTTTATGTGTCGAACCTATCATTTATCTTTATGAAAGCATATGTGAATTTTTATAATATACTTTTTTGGTTATAAATATATAAAATCAAAATAAAAAATGAAAATATTTATAATAATATTTGGCAATAAAAAGATGCAAATAAAACATACTGTGCATATCAAAATTACAAGCAAGATAAAACGTAACAAGCAAACATCAAGTTCAAAATACCACTCAAAAACTCTTATATAATATTCTTAAATTTTCTTATTAAATGTGGTATTTTCGAAATTTCTTGTTACTTTATTACTATTATTCAACCTCAATTTTTAATAGGAGATCCTTGAATTGAATTTCCAAACTAATCCTGATGATATTTCAGAAAGTTTATAGTGTATATTTTTAATTCAAAACTGGATTAATGTGGAACAAATATTATAAATTGTAATAATAAAGAGCTTGAACCAAAGGAGGATAAGTGGCCTAAACTGAACATGAAGTAGTTAAAACCTTTACTAATGTAAATACTGAGAAAACAATCAAATAAACGAAGATTAAAAATAATCATCTAGAAAGAAATAAAAAAAGAAATTATTTAGATAAATCAAAATTTATTCATAATTACTATATTTATACTAGATACTGATCCTCTATTCCAAATATTGTAGGAGTAAAAATTGACTCTTAAGCTGCTTCTATAGCATATTTAATTTATGAATATAAAAAGTAATATGTGTATGATAAAATGGATAATTTCAAAGAGAATTATTGATTTGATATAACAGGAAGTGTGCATATAAATAGAATATCTATAATGAATATTCAGATAATTCTTAATTACTTTATATGTATGAGTTGAGTAATTAATTGCTGTAAAATATAATCTATAATATATTTGAGTATTTAGCAATTTTTTGCATTTTATCTAACCTTTAAGAATTAGATAAACTTGGTTTAAAAAATTCGATTATTATAAATATATCATTAAAGAAAATTATCTTAAAATTAATATTTTAAAAATGAAATAAATGTGAATTTTAGATGAAATTTCTTTTAATGATAACACAAACAATTGCAGCGCTTGAATATCAAATTATTACAAATTCGTTAGCATTGATATGGAAATAATATTATGAATGGTCTCTACTTGTTAAATATTAATACAATGAAAATATCAGTTTAATTTTTGATGGAGTGTCATTTTTATTTCTAAACAATTTGGATATGATTAACACTTTACTAAGGGTTTCACTTACTCTAGATACATAAATTTGCTTTAATCGAGCAAAGGTGACAAGAAAAATAAATTTTAAGAATTGTACAAGCAACAAACCTGCTTAAAATAATAGGATGAATATTTTTTTTGAATATATACTTGTGTTTTAAATCTTCTAATGTTTGAATCTTGAATTTTGTTTTCCTAATAATAAAGCATGTTTCATGTGGAAGGAAATAATTGTACATCAAAGCATTTTAAGCAGTATCTAATTAGATACATCCCTTGCAAATTTTATAAAAATTAAACCATTCTTTATTAATATTCATTAGTAAAATATTTAAGATGCAAAATTAACCTATGATAGTTAATAACTTAATCCATTTCTATAAATAATCCTACATTATATATTAAAAACATTTAATTGAATTATCTGCTGCTAAAGGCAACAGTTCAACTGACATAAGTATTAATTAATGGCTAGAAATAAAACAATTGAATTTTGAATAATTAATTCAAAACGCTTAATTTTTATTTATAAAATTAGAATAATAATAAATAATATTTATGCTCAATGATATGAATTATATAAATTTTATCTCTGATTAACGAGAACAGTAAAATATCTTTCCTAATCCTTAATAGAATAATTTTAACTCAAATAATAATCATGTTATTTGTATTTTTTCTATTTATATAAAAACAAATCAAATCAATTAATTGAAATTTTTCCACTTTTTTTGTACTTGTGTATTTGAAAGATGATAAAAATAAAAGTTAAAATAATTATGATTAATTTACTATGATAATTTAACCAAACTTATTTTTGTTTTAGGTTGGATTCTGATATATTTATTGTTAGTTTTGATACTTAATTGATAAATTATAAACTTATATTATTTGTTACTGAATCATTAATTTTGTCTAACCAATATTTTTTAAATTAAATTAATTAAACTTTCTAATTAGAATACATTGAATAATGGCTTGAGTTATATTTTTCAATTTTAGTATGATTTTGTATTGGAATTCTTTAAACATAGTCTAATTCTCTTTTAAAATGTAATTCGCTGATATCATAAATAATTAAAGATAAGTCTTCCTTTATCTTTTATTTAAATATCACAATTTGTGCGTCTGAATATACATGTTCAGTTTAATAGTTAAAGGTTTCAAGTCTTAGAAGAGCAGTTACATTTTAATCTATATAGCGAGTTTATTTAAATCTTAAAATCTTAATTACACAAAAAGAGAGAGACTCTCCACATTATAAGTATTACATGTTGAAATTTTAATTTGATTATTGATTTATTGAAATTATCTTGATTATTA